GGTGCGCCGGCCGTCGGGTGGTGGTGCTGGCCGGCGGCGGCGTGGTGGTGGTGGTGGTGGTAGTGCGGGCCCGCGCCGCTCTGCGCGGCGGCCGCGGCGATCACGGCGGACACCACGGCGGCGGCGGGGCCCATCTCCTCGCCGCTGCCGCCCAGGGAGGGGCCGGCGCCAGCCCCGGCCGCCGCCGCCAGCTGCTGCGCCCCGCGCGCGTAGCCATCGAAGCCGCCCTGGAGCTGGTGGCTGTTGCTGATGAGCGCCTCGACCGCGTCCTCGGGGCTGAAGCCCAGCGCCTCGGGGTTGAGCTGCTGCGGGTAGCCGGTCATCCAGTAGTAGTCTTCCAGGTGCGCTTTCTGCTCGCTGCCCGAGCCCGGGCTGGGCGCCGAGAAGCTGGGGGAAGGAGGCACCGAGCTGCACGGCGTGCTCATGGGGGTGGAGGACAGCGAGCCCCCGGCGATGAGACGGCCACACTGGCTGATGATGCGGTCGGTCTCCACCGGTTCCTTCTTCACTTCAAACTTCATCAGATCGAAGTCATTAACATATTCCATGGCCAGGGGACTGGTGGGCAGGTCGGAGTTGCTCATTGCCAGTTCTGATGCCATTCTCCTGCCGCCGCCGCCGCCGCCGCCGCCGCCGCCGCTCCTCCAGATGGGCTGCAGGAGAGGGGCCAGCGGGCTGTGCTGGGTGGACAGCGGGTGAGCCAGCTTGCCGGGCTGGGGCGCCTCTAGCTCGCGCGCGGTGGCTGGCCCGAAACCTCGGAGGGAGCGCGCAACACCCCCCGCCCTGCCCGCGGCCCGCGCCCGCCTCCCGCCCCTGCTCACGCCAATGTTCTCGCTCCCTTGCTCGCTGCTCCCCCGGCCCCTCCTCGCTTGCTCGCGGCTCGCTCGCCTCCGAGCGCGCCCAGCCGGCGGGCGGCTTCAGGCTCGGGCAGGTCCTCCGCGGGCTGCGGCGGCGGCGAGGCCGGAGGAGCCCGGCCGGGTGCGCGGCGTCCCCCGCTCGCCGCTCCGCTGCGCGCTTCGCATAAGGAGAGCTCGGGCGGGGCGCGCGGAGGGCGCTGTCCGGGCGGCGCGGGCTCTGCACCGGGACTTAGCACTGCATGCTTCTCGCCGCCTCTTCTGCCTGGCGCTTTTTATTTTTCTTTCTTTCTCTTTCTTTCCCCCTCCTCTCCTCGCTCCCTCGCTCGCTCAGTCTCTTCCCTCCGCGCAAAGTGCAGGACAGAGGTGCAGCCCAGCTGGCGGAGAGGAAGGGGAGGGGGAGTTAAGTTCTTTCTTGCCTTTTTTTTTTTTTTTTTTTAAGCAAAATAGCAAAGTCCCGGGAAAGGAAAAAAAAAATAAGGCGAGGCAGAGAGCAGAAGGGGGGTAAGGCCGAGCCGACTAGCAGCCTGAGCTACAGCTCGAAGATGAAAAAAGATTTTAAAGCCTCTGATCCAGCAAGAAGAGTTTAAAGCAATTGCTGAGTTTTATAGCACTCGTGACGTCAGGCCCAAATGGGAAATTGACTGGCACTCCGGGCCAATGGGAGGCGGCGAGAGCGGCCGCGATTAGCATAATAGTATAGAAACAGGGAAACTTTTCGGAGCTGTCAATCAGGGCCCAATCAGCTGACTGTCAGCTGGGACGGGCGGGGTTAACCCTTCCCGCGCCGCCGCGCCGCTCCGGGGAGGGAGGGAGCGGCCCAGGCGCAAAGTTTGGTGCTAGAGCGACAGGAGTTTCCCGAGGGGCGGCGGGAGGCCGTAGGGCCGGGGGGAAGGTGTGCTGGCTCCGGGCGCGCCCCAGGCCTCCCGGCCGCGCTGGCTGCCTCCGGCTCCCCTAGCCGCTCGCTTCTTTTCCTTCCCTGCGCCTTCCGCACCCCAGGTGTCTGCCCGGGGACCTCCCTTCCCCGAGCCCCGCTGCGCTCCGGAGCTCAGACTTGACCTGGCCCCTCTCCCGGGGCCAGGGCGCTGGGGACGCGAGGTGGGAGGCGGTGCGGCCGGCGTGGGGTCCGCGGCGGGAGAAGGCCCCTCGGAAAGGGGAAAGGAGGGGAAAGAAGTTGCTCCGGGCCCTCCTGAGCCAGCGAGTGGGGCTTAGTTGGCCGCTGGCGTCGCGCGCCCTTGGGGACAGAGCGTCCAGCAGAGCGAGTCAGCCCGGGCTCCGGACTGGGCTGGAGTTTGGCCTCTGATCGCTCTCTCTCTCTCTCTCTCTCTCTCTCTCTCTCTCTCTCTCTCTCTCTCTCATCTGACACCTCCCCCCTTTAAAAAATATCAAGATCTACGTTCCCTTTGCACTTTTACATTGCACTTCATTATTTCGGATTTGGTTACGGCCCGGAAGGGACGGTGAGAGCCAATACCCGAGCCCTCGCAAGCTCCCCTCCAAGGGTTAAATTTTAAACAGTTTTTTTTTTTTTTCTGGACAAGTCCAGAAACCCTGAATTTGGGTGAGGTGGGGGAGCCCCCCCCCCACTGCAAATGCTAAGAACTAGTTCATATTTCTAGATCGATTCTTTTAAAGCTGTGAAAATGAAAGAAAAAGAAACGAGAAAGAATAAAAGAAAGAGACCAACAACTCTTTTCTAAGATTTTAAAGCGATAGTCCAGTCGGAGGAGCCGAGATTTATTTGGGAGAAAGCAAGATTGCAGGAAGCCGGACCCACTTTTTGGAAGACCAGCCCACCTGCTTGGAAATTGGGACTGTTGATTCCTCCAATTAACGTAATGCGTTCGGTGTTAATCATATTTATTTTATTTTATGGAGGGGGAAGGACGCTAAGAGGGTGCACTGGAAAAAAAATCTGGGAAGCCTGCAAAAGGATTGAAGAGTGGAAACTATTGTTGGACCGAGTTGGTTTTTACCTCAACAGCGCCACCTTTCGGCAAAGGTCAGTTGAAATTGATCCCTGTCCAGTTTTGTTGACGTGAAAAGAAGCTGGCTGTAGGAGGAGGAGAGGCACAGAAAAGTTAGCTGCACTGCGGTCTGAGGACCCGACCGACCGTGTAGGAAAGGGTCCAGAGAAAGTGCTAGCAGATGCGGGAATCGTTTTTACCCTTCTACCCCCCTTTCACTGTTAAGAGAGGCCAGGAACGCAGAAGCCCTGGGGGTATAATTCTGGCTGAGGAGCTCTGCCAGTGAGTGGATCCTGCCTAACAGGGCCCCAAACCCTTTAAAAGTACCAGGATGGCTTTTCAACGGGCTTTATGGCAATATCGATAGAATTAAAGTTACTTGTAATTCAGTGATAAATGAGATGTCTCTAGTGAGCAAGATTAAGTGCAGCGCTATAAAGTTGTTTATCTGAAAAGTAATTCTCAGAAAACCTGACTTCTGACACTTAGTCATATATTAAGCCAGCTTCCTGAGCCACCCCGCAGCAGCATACTTTCCTATTTATAACGAGACCTTAGGTGTCGCTCCCTGGCTTCGTACACCCGATCAGGCCCGTGTTAATCTCTCCCACCCTGGCAGCCTCTGCTTTGAGCAAACCCAGAAATCGGTACTGGAGGGCTCCCCAGAACAGCTGTAGGGACCTCCTAATCCTAGAGGCCCAGCGCTGGTGTTACTTTCCAGACGAGTACTTCGTTTCTGTTTTTGTTTTTTTCCCCACCATTGCTGCAGAGAAGTTGTTTATAAGCATAGCTTGGATTTTACGGGAGTACTTTGTTGGGGTGGAGTGAACTATTCCTAGTCCCAGTTTGGGGAAGAAAGAGTGAAGATTATGTCAGTATTTATGCAACTCAAGAGAATTCCCTTGCTTTCTTTCTCTTTAACAATATTTTACCTAGAAATGAAGTTAAGGGATTATAGTTTGTGTACTCAGTGGAAAATCCACTTCTTAAATTACATGAACATTAGATTGTTTAGCATTGTTCAGAGCAATCATTTTCTAGGTCTTTTAAAAAATCACTAGCAGCAAACATCTGAAATTTATATATTTCATGTAAAATATAATTTTTGTGTATTTAGAAAGAATTAATTCTTTTTTGTTTACGGTAACTTTAAAAATCCCTTTGCATCACATTTTTTGTTCAGAGCTTCAAAGTATGATCCCTACCTCTCAACAAAGTACTTTTGGCCAGGAACACTGAAACTGCTACATTTATAAATAAACATTTTATAAACAAAATTTGCTAATGATGAAGACCATGCCATATAGTTTCATGGCCACATACCTAATTGTTGCAATTATATATCATTTCTGGAAATGAAATGCCTATGTTTGGGCAGCTAAATGTATTATTATGTGCATGTTTTTATGGTTTATTTTTGTTCACTACTGTCAAGCCATGGTATTTTTCTTGTTCTTATTGCAGAGTCTTTTATAGTCTCCCATTTTCTCTAGAAAAGAGAGAAGATCAGAATTATTTTTTAGATGTGTAGCAGCCCAACTCTCAGGCTTACAACTTAATTCTCATTTTTATCCTTTTTACTTTATTATTTAGTGATTCACAGGGGTGTCTAAACATTTACAGTTCTTTGTTAGCAGCATTTCTTTTATAACAATTGAGCTCTCTCATTTTAATTAGTACTATTCAGGTTTCTGCTTCTCTACAATTACAGCAGGCCACATTTCTTTGGACTTCTTTGCTAACATTGTTTGTTTCACTTCTATCCAAGCCAATCTAATTCAAATACAATATGAACTGTGTTTTCTTACTGCTTAATATCCCCTCAGTATATATATTCTAGTAATCTCTGTAGAACAATATACAGTAATTCAGAAACCATGCGTTTGTCATTATTGACCAATTCAAACCAGTAGCATTAAAGTTTCTGAAAGCAATGAATATTTATAGAAGATCTTGAGGGGGAGGAGGGCATGGGTCGAATCCCACAGCAGATTTCATAACAGTAACATCAAAAATACAATTGTCATTTCGTGGCTGTGCATCCATGTCCATAACAACTTCATGCAAAAAGGGGGGGGGTGGGTTGTGAAAGAGGAGAGAGGAGAGAGAGAGACCCAGCCTTCATGTCCAAATTGCAAAGATTAAAAGCTGAAAGGAATATCTGTTTCCTGATAGTGAGTTACAGCAACTCAAATATATCATGGTGGAATCAGACATGTATAATCTGAAGAGAACAGGATGTATCGAGGACAGCATCAGATCTTTTTGTTTACGTAGGAGCTGGTTTTTATGGTGTAGGACTACCCGGTGTCCACTAAATTTCACCATGCAACCACCTAGATTGATTTGAGAAAGAGTTCTTGCGAGTAACTTAGTGATAAGACATACACTGTTCTCAGGTCTAATGTTAGATAAATCCTTTTAACAGTCTTCAGTTAGCAGGGTAAGTAAATCACAAATCACTGTTAGCAGATTCATGGAAGAAAATTAATAGAATCAGACGAGATAATCTGATAAGGGCGAAATTGCTGAGGAAACAGTCTTGCCTCATACTGCAGGATGTGAAACAACAGTCTGATTACTAGGAGTCGTTATGAATAGGAGAATTATGTGCTAAATAATCATCAGAGTAATTCAGCATTTATTAATTCTTTTCTCTTTAAGCAATTCACAGTTGTAAGTTAAAGCCACTCTCTCTTTGAAGACACATCTTTTATAATTTTTATTAGAGGCAATTTATTATTTGCATTACCTGTATTTACTTCATAATTGAACATTTTGCATTCAAATTTATGTAATGCATTATGCTTGAGAATATATTTCTGCCTGATTAGCATAAATAGTCACTTACCTCATGAATTACTAACAAAGTTTATCTTAAAATATAGGTTTTTTTATTAAGTGGAACACAAACATATGTACAATAAATTCTGATTTTCCGGAGCAGTTAGAGAACAACTCACATTGCAGGGAAGCAAGAGGAGGAGGGAAAATGTAGACAAATGAGACCTGCAGGTTTTTTCCACCGGTATCATTTAGATGGGGGTAGAAAGGGCTGGAGAAGGTGCTGGCTGTGCTCCTCATTCGCTGTTTGGATTATTGACTGGGTGATCTCAACATGGAGTGTGGATTTGGAAAAAAAAGTAATTAATGATCCCCACCCCTTGAAGGACCACAGTACTAAGTCAGTAGTATTGACAGGACTAGGGGAGGGTGTTGTTTGTTTTATTTTTATTTTGTTTGTTTGTTTGTTTGTTTTTGTCTTTGCAGGGCTTTTCCTTCCATGAAATACTGGTTGTGCACAAGAGATGTGAGAAAGCCAGATGTTTTCTGGGAAGGTGTGCCAGATTTCACCCAGATCTGTTTCCTTCCTTTATCTGACAAATCCCAGCACGTCCTAGCAGACAGGAGGCACTGATTTAATAAATAGTTTGGGGGATACATGAACACTGGAATTAAAGGGGCTCTGTGGTTTTAGCAGTAGAGATGTGAAACCATGGGGCCTGTTTTCCCAGATTGCCACCTTTTTTCTATTTCCCCTTTCCTTTTTCAGGGCATAGCCATCTGCTTCTGCTTAGATTTTTCTTTCCCTTCAATTAAGGACTGACTGTGACTTGCTCTTCCATTCTCATTGCTTTTGATCCCATTCGCAGCTTATGCCAGTGAGGGAATTTATCTCCAAAGCATTCGACCCTTCGAAGATTTTACTGTCATCGACTCAGAACTGCTCTTAAGAAAAGCAAAGGAAATTAAAAAAAAAAAAAAAAAAAGGAACCTGATATCGGGAGAATCTTTTCACAGGCAGTGTCTTCTACGCCTAATAACTCAGAGGACCCAGGCTGGGTGGTGGTGCTGGCCCAGAAGTTTTGTCCCCTCCCTTCCTGCTCCTGCTGAAGGGGACTCGGAGCTCTTCCTCCAGAAGGGTTGGGCAGCCATTCAACCTGGGAAAGAAACGCAGTTCTAGAAAGCACAGAGCAAACTTTCTTCACAGAAATTCTTCTGTAGTTATGGGGAAAGGATGCTGAAGCAGGTGTTTTCTGGACTTGTGAGTTTCTGGATTTGTTTGGCCGAGGCCCAGGGAAAAGGGGTCTCTTCCAGCTGTTTCACATCATAGTTCTCCCTTGCCTCCTGGGTGTGGCTGAGCTCTCTCAGGCATCCTTCTGTGCATTGGAAACACCAGACACATCCAGAATGTCCTCACAGCAGCCCCAATGCAGCAGAACATTCCCGATCTGGATCTGATGAAGGACAGGAAGTGGGGTCACCACCTCCACCCCACCCCAAATAAAAGTCAAGGTCAGATATAGCCCTTCTGATAAACTTTTGTATTTTGTAATGCTATAACAGTGATACATGCTCTTTGTTGAATATGAGTGCTTAGACAAGACCGAAATGGGAAGTTTTATCAAAGAAGAATGCTGCTCCTCATTTTGACTTTTCAACCAGGTATAGCAAACAGTGTCCAGGACCATGGAAACATTTTAATTTCTTTTAAAATCAGAAGGAGAGAAAGCATGGGTTATACCTTTCACCATATCTCCACAGTCATAATATATATATGTATATTATGAGAAGGAGTCTGTGGAGGACATGGTTCCCAGGACTCACAAAAGTCCACACATGACCTTGACAGATGAACTTGATCCCCTCCAGTGACAAGGGGCTTACTACCTATCTGTCCTCATCTGGCTGCAGTTCTTGGACCATCAGAAATATTTTGTGTATTTGCTTTAGCATGAAGTTTTCCCCCTTTCTTCTGTATGTGCATCCTGGTCTCATAAGCTCACAAGACCATGCAATCACGAGGTCCTTATGTTCCACAGGGCCCCTCGGAAGTCAAAAACAATGAATGGGACCCCCTTCCCTGCCTTTCTGTTGCATTCTGCACACAGTGCCTTCAGCATTTGCACATAGGCGCTGGTTTCAGGAGCCCTGCCTCCTGGTTGCTGATGCCCTGCATGCTCACAGGGTTCTGCTGCCCTTGGAGGGTCCAAGTTCCAGATCCAGACCCAGGTGTCCAGGTGTGGCCACTCATTACACAGCCAGCGCCACACTCTGCCCCCTTGAGCTGCAGTCCAGCAGACACCTGCCGCTGGAGACTCACGGTGCCCACACCAGGGGCACAGACCCTGGCCTCTCCTTCTTATGTTCTGCATCCTGGATTTGTACCCTTCTGGTTTTGAATCCAAGCACAAAAATGTCCAACAACATCTTCCGCAGGCTCCAGCTCATCGGGTTCAGCTTACGCCATGTGATCTAAATCTCTGGGGTTCAGAATGTGCTATGGACTATTGTTAATTTGCTTCCTAGCTTTGTGGCAGCTGCAGATGACATTGATGTGCCATTCACATGACTTAATCTGTCTGAACCAGGTCCCTGCTTTGCATGCTGGGATACTGTCGGGATCAGCGATTGTTCTCCTACAGAACGGGGCCGCAGAGGATCTCCTCTCCACTTTCCCTATGAGCCCTGTGAAATGTGGATAGCAGCATTAGAAGGGTCAAAACCCTGTGGCATTCCAGCAGAGCCTGTCCCTCCCAGTGCCCCCACGATCAACACAAAGTGACCAAGAGATCATTAAGTCCCCTAACAGACACTTGAAATAGACACAGCCTATTTGTCAATTGGGGTAATTTTAAACTCAGTTACCCCACCTGGAGTCCTCCATAGATCTTTCTGATGAATTCTGAAAGTAACCTCACTTCTTCACAGTGTAGGTGAGCTTGCCATTGAGAAGGATGGATAACTAGATAACTGTATCACATTTCACACCTGCCTTGGCCTTTGTAAACCTTTGCCCTGTCAAAATACATAGCAGTTGTCCACAGCTGGAACCTCAGAGACTAATAAAAAACAGAAAAAACCTAAACAAGCTAAGCACAAGAGCTCTGTGAGCGTACAAAAGTGTGCCAACCTCTCTGCTTTTTCTCTTACTGAGGTCACTAACTTTCCTGCCAGTTGCAGGTGCCAATTTCCAGGCCAGGAGCGGCTCTGGGGTATTTTCTTAGACAGAAAAAGTTCAGATTTCATGTGTGAATCTTTGAGTCTCCAGGTCCCTCTGGTCTCTCTTGAAAGGACCTAAATGTGATGGCTTTTGCAAAATTTCCCCTCGGAGGTTCCCACCTCGCCCCTTTCAGAGGAACCTGCAAACAAGAGCAAGAAGCAGGCCGTGGGTTATTGATGCTCTGCCCTCTGTATGCTGCCCCGGAGAGCCTGGCTTGGGCTGGTTCAGCAGACCCAGCAGAGACACTTGGGGCTCAGAAAGACTAATGAGGACCCACCCTTCAGAGACTGTCACTGACTTTTGCCACTGACTGTTGTCACAGCCTGTTGACTGGTGGCCGACTTGCCTTGTGCTCTCGGCAAAGCCTTTCTTCCTGCAGCTCATCTCTGAGGCTGTGAATGACCTAGACTGTAGGAGGCCAGGAAAACTCTGGATCCTGTGGAGGGGACCCTCTCAAGCCTTGGGGATGTCTGTGAGGTGGGTGAAGAGGGCTACAGACCCCCGGGTACAGAGGCACACTACTATGCTGGGCTATTGTGGGACATTGACAACAGAGGGTCCCAGGGCAGGACCCACATCTCCTGTGTCTCCAGACATTTAGGTTGACACTGTTAGAGACTTGGAAGGCAGCTCAGGAGAAAAAACTCATGGATCTCAGTGGGCCACCTGGCAGGTGCATCTTGTGCTCTGGTGATGCCTTCCTTTGGAAGCAGGCCAATGGGGGCGGGTGGGGGGCATAAGTCCTGGTCTGTCCCCACTGGTGCCAGACCTTGGACAAGTGACCTTGAACTGTGGGCCTCAGTGTCTTTCCTGTCAGAGTCGGAGACACCCTTTGTGAGAACGATGTGCATCTATACCGAGGGCTTGGCACAGTGCCTGCCCAGCAGGGACTGCTCCAAAGAACGTGATCCTTTGGCACACACAAGGGACCGTGGGGGACATTCTGTACACACTGTTTCACAGGGTGGGGCCAGGGCCTCTGGCACTCAGGAAGTAGCTCTCTCCTCTGTCTTTTATGCTCCAGCCTTCAAGCTATGCTTACCTGGAATGTGGTCTTTTGTTTTTCCTCTGTCTCGAGTCTGCAGGGTTTTGCTCACCTGGAATTCCACCCTCTTCCCACTTTCCCTACCCTCTGTCCTATTTCCTGGTTAATTTTGACTTGAGTTTCCTCTTAAAAGCCTTACCTGAGCCCTCTTACTTTCTGGCTCCCAGTGTGAGCCAAGAGCCCAGAGACCTTACCTGTGTTCCAGTTCTCATGCTGAACTTGTTAGCTCCTTAACCCAGGAGCACCTTGACACCTAGGACAGCCCTGTTTCTCTCTCTGTCTCCTTTCCCTGCTCCGGTCCCTGGTATGCCAAAGGTGCTCCACATGTGCTTATCTGATAGAATAACTTGAATGCACTCTCAGATTCCTCACCTGTGTTTAAGTTCTAACCCACGCAGGATGCGCTGCCAGATGTCCCAGAAAACACAACTTTGACAGGGGCAGGGTGGCTGGCTCCGCTGTTGCAACACAGCAGTTCTTACAGTCACCTCTCTCTAGTCTGATGGGCCCAACCCTCCGTCACCAGGTCGCCAGGATGCTTATCTTGTTCGGAACTCAGCCTGTATCTTTCCAAGATGGAACTGGGTGGAAAACACAGCTGAGATGCACAGGCCTCGGAGCCAAGGTGGAATGCGATGAATCCTGCCAGTGAACTCTGTGTGGGGAGGGATGAGATTAAGCACTGGAAGTGGCGAGGTGTCTGCTGCTGTCCAGAGGCCCACTCCGGCTCTGCATCACAGATGCTCCCCAAGGCTTCAAGCCACACCGACGGGACGGAATTTTGTGATCTTCAGATGATAACACAAACCTGCCCCATTTCCACAGGCCCGTATCCTGCCCATTCCTCAAGGCACAGTGCAGATTCAGGCTTGCAGCTGAAGCTCTGAACAGGGTCTGGCGTCTGCTATGCCTTTAGTGAGAGTCAGATGCTGGTGCTATGACACGGGTCCTGGAAGCCTCCTGGGCCTTTCATCTGGGATCCCCGAGGTGCTAGTTCAGCCTCTCTTGGGGAGTCCTGAGCTGTAGCTTGGGAAGCAGCTTGGTGAATGGCCAACCAGGACCGTGCCTGATGGGATTTGTGACCTGGGAGGTCTCTCTGTGCGTTTCCTGTCTCACTGTCTCCATCTGCATGGATGAGTCACTTAGCCCTCTGTGAGTTGCAGGTGAAAAATCCTTGGCCTAATTGACTTAAGCTAACAAGGAGCTCACTGGCTCATGTGACCGAAAGTTCCCGCCACAGACTGGTGTTGGGCCTGGCTGGGGACAGGGGTCATGTGGTGCCACTGGAACTGGCTTTCATCCATCTGGGGCAACTCCAGACCAGGATTCCTATGGGAACAGGATGGTAGGACCGGCTCTAATTCTACATCCTCCTAGGCTAGGTCCAGGGAATGAGACTGAGACTAACGTCAGTGAGGGACGTGGAAGTCATGGTTCTGGCTCATCTGGTGGGTTACCTGCCTACCCCTGAGCCAGTCCCCATGGCAAAGTGATGCAGTGCCCTACTGGTTCAGACTTGGACTCAGAAAGAGGTGATACAGTGGGCCTGGGGGAAGCTTGGAGACTCTCTGACTATGATGGGGAAGCCCATGTCCCTGGGTGACACTGTGAAGGCGGCCACCAGACTATAGCATTGCTAACAGCCCACAGGTACCGGACAGTCCCCCGGCGTTACCTCAGTTTGAACTCACCAATAGTAGCAGCAGCCCTGTGCGAGATGTGCTGCT